GGCCTGGGGGTGGGGGGGACCCGGTGGGGCGGGGCTTCTTGGTGTGTGGGCGGGGATTCAGAGGGGCGTGGTCGACCCACGGCTTCTGCCTCGGAGGGCCTCCTGGGCTCTGTTAGGCTCTCCGTGCTCCAATAAGGCCACACATGAACACTTGCCTAGCATACAGATCTTAGGTTCGATCCCCAGCAACTCACGCACACGCACACGCGCGCACACACACATCGCCCCCCCAAGAAAACCCCAACCAAACAAAAACCATCCGGTCTTCCTTTCTGTTCCTCATGCGACCTGGCTCCTTTGACACCAGGAGCCTCAGCTTGCATCCTTTCCGGCCTCCCAGTCGCTGCTGCTCCCTCCTCCAGGGAGCCTTTGGTTTTCTCTCCCTGCTGCTGCTCCTCTCTGCCCTAGAACGACCTGACCAGGTCTTGCTGGAAGCTGGGTCTTGTCCCCAGCTGTAAACACTGAGCAGTTAGAGGGGGGACTGGAGTGTGCAGAGGGTTAGTCTCGGTGCCCCAGGCTGGCAGCTAGTTCTGAGTAATCTTCCTGGGGTCTAAGTGGTTTTGCTCTGCATCCAGAACACAGGCTTCCTGCTGCAGCAGAGGAAGGCCCCGACATCTTTGAGTAGTGGGTGGTCCAGGTCCAGGCCTTAGGCATTCTAGCCGAGTCATAACTGACCAAGTAGCAACACCCACTAGGCCTTCTGGCTTGCTTTATTGGCTGTAACAAGAAATAAGTATAAACAATTAAAGCTAACAGGCTATCCTCAGGAGCTGAGGGGTTCAAATCCTGACCTGCCACTGACTCACCTCTGTAGCCTTAAACAACTCCCCACGCTTCCTGGGCCTCAGCTTCCCCCTCTCTGAGTGAGTGGGGATAGCGACAGGAAGCCCTGTAGGGCCAGGGCTCTGACTAGCAGCTGCTGTTGTTCTTGCTATTATTAGCAGTGTTGAGGGCAGGACCTCCCTCAGTTTGCCCCAGCGCCTTCATCTCCAGCCACACTGTTCTTCCTTATCTCCCCCCTGGACCCAGAAGCCCTCCTTCAGGTCTGCTGCACCCGAGAGACCGCCCCTTGTGATGCTCTTACCCACTTCCAAGTAGGGTACCGCTCTTCCTTTTCAGGTCCCTGTCCCTGGGCTAAGGACAAAATGTATGACACCCGGTCCAACAGTCCTATGCTCCCACCTAGCAGCACACACAGGATCGGTACAGCCAAGCTGGAGAAGGGGGGTGGTGTCCCTTCTTCAGGCTCCAGGGGCCTGGTTAGCCTCCTACCTGGGATCTGATGTGGAAATGTGTGACAGGAAGGGAAGTACTCCGCCTGTACCCCCAAGTCTGGAGTCCTCATCCTCAGCCCCAATGCCAATGGCCTCAGCCTTTCTCTCCGTTTCCCTGGCCCAGTCGGAGAGGCCGGCTTTGAGGAGACTCACACCAGGGAGGGCTGCAGCCTTGCTGGTTACAGAGGCCAGCCAAGACTCTGGCCTCTTGTTATGTTCTTAACCATCCCCACACCCCAGCCTACTACCTTGGTGTTTGCCACAAACTTAGGTAGGGTAGAGAATGAAGAAACGGAAAGGGGAAAGTCGACAGCAGTGCACACCTTAAATCCCAGCATGAGGGAGGCAGAGACAGACAGTTCTCTGGGAGTTCAAGGCCAGCCTGATCTATACAAAGAGACCTGGTTTCAAAACCCTCCAAACAAAATACAAAGAAACCAAACAACCAAATAACAACAAGAAGCCAACCAAAATAAAATAAAAACAAAACAAAAAAGAAGAAAGGAAGAAAAGAAAGGAGAAAGGAGCCGGCGTGATGGTGCATGCCTTTAAGCCCAACACTCTGGAGGCAGAAGTGGGTCTCTGAGTTCGAGGCCAGCCTGGTCTACAGAGTGAATTTCAGGACAGCCAGGGCCACACGGGAAACCCTGTCACATGGGAAAGAAAGAAGGGGGAGGCTTATAATCCATGAAACTGACAAATGGCTGTGTTCGGGGTATCAGAAGAGCAAATCGTTCTATACAGAGGCAGGGGCTTCTCGGTTGCTATATGCTGTCAATACTGGTCCTGACTCACCTGGCTCACAGCTCCTGGGAGCAGCTCCAGGCCCTGGATGTCACCACTGGTCTCATTTGCTGAGTCTCCTCCTGGCTGGGTGCTGTCACACCTAGAGAGCATAAGAAGAAGCCAGACTGAAGGGAACTGTGACCTCATCCTGTGACCAGACAACTCTGGACAGCCCATCTCATTTTTAATTTATTTACTCAGTTTCTAAAATTTGGGGCAGAAGAAATGGTCCAGTAGTTGGAAGAATTTGCTGCTCTTGCAGAGACCCAGGTTCAGTTCCCAGAACCCACATGGGGACTTGCAGACACCTGTACCTCTCCTGGGAGATCTAATGCTCTCACCTCACCTCCACAAGCGTGCACATGATACATGCATACATGCAGGCAAAACACTCACACACATAAAAACAAATACATTAAAAATAATAAAATGAAATGTGAATGTATATGTGTGTGCTTGCATGAGTTTATGCTACCACATGTATGCTGTGTGTCTCCTTGCATGAGTTTATGTGTACCATGTGTGTGTGTGTGTGCTTACATCAGTTTATGTGTACCATGTGTGTGTGTGTGTGCTTACATCAGTTTATGTGTACCATGTGTGTGTGTGTGTGCTTACATCAGTTTATGTGTACCATGTGTGTGTGTGTGTGCTTACATCAGTTTATGTGTACTCCGTATATGTGTGTGAGTTTGCATGAGTTTATGTGTATTGCCTGTATGTGTGTGTCCTTGCATGAGTTTATGTGTATTGCGTGTATGTGTGTGTCCTTGCATGAGTTTATGTGTACCATGTGTATGTGTGTGTTTGCATGAGTTTATGGCATCACATGTGTGTGTGCTTACATGAGCTTGTGTGTGCCCCGTGCTTGGAGAAGGGCATGAGAGCCCTTGGAGCTTGGGTTAGCTCATGTTATCTGGGGTGACAAGTCTCTCTGCCCAGTCCCCAGCCATGGACAGGCATGGCTGGTGTGAAGACGTATAATAACCCCAAACCTGGGGGTAGTTTCTTGGAAGCAAATGCAAGAAGCCTTC